ATAATTTAATAACTAAAATGTTTAGATAGGTAAGAAGAGGCAAAAGATAGCAGCAGCAATGAGGAATGGCAGGGGGTTCCCCCGAGACGAACCGGAATAATAGGAATAAACCGAGTAGACGCTTCCCGGGGGACCGTTTACGTATATGTATGGCGGGTTTCGGCCGCCTCTGCTAGGTGGTGGCGGGCAGTTGCTGCTCGGCGGCTTCTTCTCCAGCGGTGGGGGCGGGGGAGTGGTGGTGCAGGGGTTGTTGCAGGGGCAGTCACCGCACTTTTTCTCCAGGCCGGTCGGAGTTGTCACGATTTCGGATTTAACAAAAGCCCAAAGGGTGGCCACAAGGAATGTAATAATCTGCATCATTCTCACCCTCGCCATGCCAAAGTTAAAACCTATCGCACACTCAAGAAATTGATAGGAGTGACCTTTTGCATGGAAATTAATAAATGTGTGTGTGTGTGTGTGTGTGTGTGTCACTCAACACTTGTATGTATGTTGTATATAAACATGAGGCCGTGTGGGTGCTTTGCTTAGTAGGAATATTAGACGGCCATCAATTCTTCAATACTCTCCACTCTGCCTTTTTTTTTTGTGTGTCCCAAAATTACTTCTTGCAATAATTGTACAACTTTTTTCATGAAAATAACAATTTATTATTAAATTCAAGGTTTGTTTATTTGATTTTTAATCATTCGTGGGTTAATTTTGAAAGAGTTCATGCATGACTTGGACATTCCTTCGGCCCGAATTAAAGGTTGAAGAAAAAGCCCTTTTAAGGGGAATCTGCAAAAACGAATAAAGGCAATTTTGTTTTCATGCAAAAAAGGAATTTCAGACAACCAATCTTCGTTGTAAAATTGTCTTTCCGGATAAAGGAGTGGAACGATAGATGCTTACAAGGGTACTTCCATACAAGTTATCCAATTATTTTTCACCAATTATTTTTTTAACTTAAAATCTAAATCAAAATTTTCACCAATTGTTTGTTTCTCTTAGGGACTATGTTTCTCTCCTATGGAGCTCTTTCTCCTTTCGTGGAGTTTGTTATTTTTTTTTTTTTTTTTGGTTTCGTGGATGTGATTGTTTTTGTGTTGGTTCTAGGCGATTATCAGAATCTGTCCTCTTACTAGATTCGCCATTTGAGATGTCTTTTCGGCTTTTGTGCTATTTTCTGGATGTATATTTGTGGTTTATCTATGAAATTTCTATCGTTTGGAAATAACAAATAATCCTTTTCATTATTATCAGTGTAATTAAATAATATTAATCAACCATCTCCATACATTACATCAATTTAATAGTTCACTGTTCATTCATTCACAATCACTTCCAATAACTTCTTTTCTGCTTTTATATCAAATCAATTTCAATCATTTTATTTTAAATACTATTTTAGTACAAACTCGAAATCTGAGTATTTTTATAAAAAAAATAAAAAATAAATTAAATTTGGTTAACCAACAAATCCAATCAAAACCAAAATAACTTACATCAACCACACCCTACACCAATAATTTAGCTTTCACTTGGAAATTGATATTAGTAGTTAGAACATCCACAATGCTTCGAGTTCAATCAAAAAAACTTATATGTCACCTAGATAATAGACCCAGTAAATAAATATATTCTCTCCATTGCAAGTGTAAGTAAATTGGGTCCTCTTGATATGTCAGCAAGAAAAAGAGACCCGGTCTACGTACTTAAGTCTATTTTAGACCCAAGTAGAGACATAGTCTCTTACATTGGAGTGACTTTTGTTAATTCTATATTGTTTTACCCATGTCATCAAAGACTTGTGTTTATTTACATGCCAAATAGGCAAAACTAGACCTAAAGCATGTGACAGGAAGATACCACTGCGTGAAATGGATTTGGTCGCCCAAATATGATGTTGTAGGTTGACTCTGCCTTCACCTCTCCCCCACGGAATCCATACAATGTTGTGCTCACCTTATTCATCTCTACCTCCAACTACATCTTCTTAAAGCAATCGTAAAACATAATCTCCATTGAGCCCCCGGTGTCAATGAACACTTGTTGTACCTCGTACCCTGCAACCTCTGCAGAATTAACTAAAGCATCATTAATATGAGGTGTGTTGGTGGAGATAGAGTATTAGAATATTTATTTGTATCTATTATTCTTATTATTGCAAGCATTTAATAATTATTTATTATTTATAGTCGGGTGAAGAAGAACGGTGTAAGCTTAGGGGCCTTATATAAAACGTGTATGTTGTTGAAGTTCCTAACAGAACCCAACAACGTGGCCATGGCAGGTGGCGACTTCGTAAACAACTTTAGCTATCGGGTGCTGAGGTGGTTAGAGACAGTTAATGGGATTTGGCTGTGGTTTCGAAGATCCCTCAGATTTTGAGCTCGATGCATGCAATATCTACGATGGTTCGCCAATTTTTCATGAGGAACCTCAAGGGACGGAGGAAGAGATGTACTTTGTGGCTTCGAATTCAACCCAAACTTTCAAATCTACTGGTTCTATAGTGAAAGATACTGATAATTCTTTGCTTGTCCAAGAAGTCCTAGAAGGATAACATAAGAGACTATTTTGTGATGGGGTTGATGTTGTTCCAAAGCTGAGGCAACTAAAGCTGGATGATTTCATTCACTCAAAGGCCAATGTGGGATCAGTTTTCTATTATTCTACTAACCTTAAGGAACTGCAATATGAGAACAATCAATATGGTTCTGGAGTAGGAACGAACATGAGTTGTCTGAATATTCTTGTTATGAATTACTACGAGAGATTGTTTGCTTTGGGTCTCGTTAGCCCCGACGAGATTGAAGTCGTGTTTAACGATGGTGGTACCCTTGAAGACGTGAAGGAGGTTCTGGAAGAATTGGTGGTTCTTTCATTTCAGAGACCCGCGCTTTTCTCCCACGGGAATTTGTTGTGACCTTGCAAAAGGATGTTGTTTTTTGGTCCCCACGGTGACTTAAACAATCTGTGTGGTTATTGCATGTATCTCTGATAATAAATTTTAAGAGGGTGATATCATTGATGTTCGACATTCAACCTTCGTGATTGATAGGAGGAAATGTCAGACGGTTATATATCCTGCCTTGACTACGACTCTAACATCGGCAACATGATCGGATGAGATTCAAGGGTGAATCATTGTCAATCGGGGGAGATTGGTGTCTATAGAGTATCAAAATATTTATTAGTATATATTATTCATATTATTACTACCATTTAATATTTATTTTTTATTTATAGTCTTGGTGAACAAGTTAGGTCTAGGGTTTAAGGGTCTTATATAAATGACTCCCTCGAGTTTTTTTTATCAGTTGTTTATGAAATAAGAAATTGATTAAGTTTATCGTGCTTTGAGATTGAAAGCTCGTTTTATCCTTCTCACTCATATGCTTCCCGACATAATGTTGCAAACCCTTTATTTTCTCTGCTCTGAAATCGATTGTTGTTGCCATGGGTTAAAATTTTAGGTACCTAAAAATTACAAATTTTTACACAAAATTCAGTTCTTAAATATAAAGAGGAAATAAATGAACATGAGTGATTAAATTTTATCCTAAAAGTGAGAAGCACTTGTATACTAAAGCAATAGTCTAAAGATTCTACTGGAACAAACAAAACACAAAGTTTCAACACTTCCCAACTAGTCTAATGAAAGAACAAGATATTTCAAAATTCAATCTGAGTATCAAGACAAACTATCAAAATAATGAACCAAAATACACCCAAGAGAATGGTGAATGAGTAAGAATCAATAACACATGTTCTGGAGAATAACGAAAGGCTCGATTTCCAAGTCCCGCCCTTGTGTTCCAATAATCTTCACAAACTTCTTGGGTGTAACATGCACATCCATCGCCTTCAGGACTCCCACATGTTGTTCTCTTGTTCTTCAATGTTTCTTTCGGTCTTTCTCTTCTCTTTTCCTTAATCATTATCTCTATATAGTTTACGACATGTATCCTTCTCTCCATATCTCTTCCTTTCCAAGTAGGAAACAACAAATGGAAATTGTATAACAAATAATATTCTAACACATATACAAACCTAATATATATATATATAATAAAAATAAAAACATAACAACCATCTCTATTTTTTTTTTCTTTTCTAAACAAAACAATATACAGAAACGACATGAGTGCAAATAATAAGCAGTATAAAACTGAGAATCAACCACTCCCCCTAAATAAAAAATCAGTACAAATATAAAGGAGAGAAACATGGGAAAGGCAAACAATGACAAAGTCAAGTACTTGATGTCTCTCTCTCTCTCTCTCTCTCTCTCTCTCTCTCTGTCTCTCCCCCTGTTTCGTTAGAAAACATGGACCGTATAAAAGGCAAGATCACTACCGAGAAAGTGTAATTGTACCTGTGCACAAGAAACACCCTTCTGAAGATGCTGGATATGAAAGTAGCGAGGCCCGATCTCGACTTTGGCTTCCCCCCAATTGAAGCACTTGACGATCGATCCATCTATAAAGTAACTCATCGTGTATCAGCAAATGAATGCTCGATTTCTAAGCTCTCCCTAAATTTGAGTGGTTCTGTGTGGCCATTGATCACTAAATAAAGGGAAAATAGTAAAACCAAGCATAGAAAAATAAATAAAATCATATGACATCCCACGTGCTGGGCATTGTCGCCGTGCATAGGGATAATAAAGAGTTCAAGACATTGAGAGCAGATAGTGATGGAAAGGGTGGACGACCTATCGACCTGAGCGGGGAAGGGGAAGTCGTTGACTGAAACAGGCTTGAGGACTGCATGGTTTCTAGAGCAGTGCTTGGTGGAACATCAAAGCCATCAAATGAACGAAGTAGTCATACCTCGGTTTGAATGTTAATCCTTAGAGAACAAAGTAGAGGCATTGATGACAATGGCATTGAGACATTGGATGGTTGAAGTTGGTAGAAGGTCCCCATCACAAGGGTTCAACAATTGTGGGTTGTGGGCCGAAGTCCCCCTTCACAAGATTTTCCATGTTATTGGTGCAGGCACTGGATCTAGGCATAAATCCCTTCTCCTTGAGAGGCTTTCGGTTGAATATAAAAGAAAAACAGAGTTAGGCTTCACCATTTACCCTTCGCCTCAGGTGTCGTTTGTTGTTGATGTAACACCCCGCTTTCTTACTAGTATCAGAGTAAATTTTTCGCAAATTTTATTATCGAACATTACTTATAAATTTTCGAAATCATCTAACTTAACTTTGGATGCTACTATAAAACTTACTTATAATGAAAACTCGTTTTCTTTAAACTTGGTCTAACCACTAGTTTAGACATAAAGAAAACAGAGTACAAAATATTTAATCGAACAAGCATATAATACTGAACCCAAATCATACTAGATGATCGGATAAAATATGAAAATATGTAATACTG